TTGGAGAGGGACATCATGCTGGGTAGAGTGGAGGGACAGCGCAGGAGGGGAAGACCCTCTATGAGGTGGATTGATTCAGTGACTGGGGTAATTGGTATGGGTGTGTCAGAGGCAATGCGATTGACACAGGATAGAGCAGGGTTTAGGGCTGTTGCACATAGGGGTCGCTATGAGTCGCAAACAACTCGATGACACATAACAACAACAACAATTCTCTAATGGTTCCAATTATATCCTTAACAAGATAATTCTCTCACCTTTCAAAACAAAACAAAAACTACCAACATTTCACCACTCCCTCTACCAACACTGCTCTAGTTGCCTTTCCCAAACTCTAAGAACAGTCCATATAGTCTTTGTCTCCAATCTGTTCCAATTTCATCTTTGCCCAAATGTTATCTTCTGAGTGCTGTATTGTTTCATCATACTATTTAATTCCAATTCACTCTATTAATTTGTAAGAGAGTAACTACTGTTAATTGATTAAAACATTGTGTCAGCAAATACAAAGCTCATAATGGGGTGATCTGCTATCAAGTTCACTACAATTCATATCAATACAAACTCTTTATCAGAATATATAGTGTTATAAAAATGCGACTGGCACAGGATAGAGCAGGGTTTAGGGCTGTTGTACATAGGGTCGCTATGAGTCGCAAGCGACTAGACAGCACATAACAACAACAATATTATAAGCAACAGATCAGAGTCCTATCCTAACCTGTGGCACCCCCAAGGCCAATGTTGAAGTTACTGTGTCAGTCTATCTGTTGAGGGTCTTCCTTTCTTTCTCTGACTTGATATAATTTGTTTTCTATTCTTTCCCAGCATGATATCATTTTTCCCAGTGACAGGACCCTTCTGACCATTTGCACAAAGTATGTGAGATGAAATGTCATCATTTTTGGCTCTAAGGACCAATCTGTTTGCACCTCCTCTAAGACAGACTTATCAGTCATTTGGAAGTCCATGAGATATTCAACACTGTTCAACAACAATGAAATGCAAAGGCACTGATTATTCTTCGGTCTTCTATGCTATTCATATGAGACCTAATTTCTCATTTCCAAATGATGTTTCATTATTTATGTACTACAAAAATATTTCAATGGCTCAAAGTATTTTTACAGCTTTCTCAACAATTCACATGGAAAAAATTATTTTATAATATAAAACATCTATTTCCCTCTGACAAAAATTAAGGGGAAAATGGCAAAGAGAACTTATTTTTAATAAAACATACATTAAAAATCAATAGGAAACGGCTACTGATCAGGGAAAATCAGAATATACTTTAAATTTGTAATGAAATTTATTTACATACCAGCACAGAATATGCCTGGAACTTCACTTCTGACTATTATAGTCCTCACTTTCTTATCAGATTTTAAAGTATCCACAGCTTTTGATAGCTAAACAAAAACAGAGCAAGTAAAGAGGGAAAAGGGAGAGATTACTTTTAGCCTTATGTAAACATTTTACTTAAAATTAGAAACAAATAGTTTTATTTTTACACTCACCATTTTTATAAGATTCTTACTGATTGCATTTTTGGCATAAGCTCTGTTTATTCCAAGCACCACAATTCCTAGTTAAAGAGAAAAGAAGAGAAAAACAAATTTAAAAAACAACAACCAAAAAAAAACCAAACCCATAAAACAAAAAAACCGTACAAATGCTTAAGTTAGTAAGGTAGTCAAGGGCACACAATTTCCCAAACACATATCGTATTGACTTCAGCTGAGACTCAACAAATCTTCCACCTCACTGTTAAGAATATTCTCTTTATATGTATAACCTCCTTTGCAAAATAAGCATATTTTCCCAAATGTGAGACATATGACTGATATAACTGGTGGGGGCACATAAAAGAGGAGAGGAAAAGAAAAAGAAAAAGCAGTAAGAAACAGGATGAGAATAAGCACAGAAACAAACAGAGCTGAGAATGGGAACAAAGACCAGTGAATGGATGGGTAAAGTGAAAGAATAGAGAGAGGTTTCCATAGGACACTGTAAATAATATCATTATGTAACTGTAATTACTGTTATAAAATAAACCAATATGAGTGACTGAATGAAAATAAAATTAAAAATAAATAAAAATAAGCATATTTTTTAAGTACTGTAGTAGCATTTAATGTATATCTTTAAAACAGGTAAAAACTAATGTCTCTTAGTTAATATAGTAACAATGACATTCCTACCATAACAATCAATTCAACACAATTCCAATAGATACCAAATTAGTTTTTCAAAGACATAGAAAAGGCAACTGCCAAGTTTTATCTAGAGAGGAAAGAGATCTTAAATAAATACTTTTGAAAAGCAAAACTGAAGTGGGAGGCATAGCACTCTCTGATCTCAAAACCTAGTACACGGAGGTGGTAACCAAAACATCATGGTACTGGTACAATGACAGGCATATAAAGCAACAAAACAAAATCGACAACACAGAAATGGATCCATCTATTGATGGTTAACTGATATTCAACAAGGAAACAGAAGTTATCAAATTGGGAAATGACAGCTTCTTTAACAAACAGTGCTGGCAAAACTGGGCTTCTACCTGCAGAAAGCTGAAATAGAATCCACATCTCACACCATACACAAAAATCAACCCAAGGTAGATCAGAAACTTGAGAGTAAAGTCCAAAATCATAAAGTTCATAACAGATAAAATGAGGGGAAATTTAGAAGGTCTATCTTATAGTATAAAGAGGCTGGCAAATACAAATTGATGATTGGGACCTTCTAAAGATTAAATTCCTGTGAGTATCAATAATGTTTTTTTCCAGAAGAGTGAAAAGAAAACTGTCAGGGAAAAAAAAAAAACCTCTCAGCAATAACATCTCAGATAAGGGTCTCATAACAGGAGTTTACAAAATATTACAGGGCCCCCACAAAAAACAAAAAAAAAACAAAAACAATGATAATTACAAAATGGGCAAAAGATATGGAAATATCTTTCACAGAGGAAGACATTCAGATTCAGATGGCCCATAGACACATGAAAAAATACTCAAAATCACTGGCAATATGACAGATGCAAATCAAAACTACAATGAGATACCATCTCACCCCAGTAGCAGTGGGAAAGTTTAACAGGACACTAAGCAATAGATGTCAGAGATGCCCCACTGTTGCTGGGATTGTAAAATGGTACAACTACTCTGGAAGGCAGTTTGGTGTATCTTTAAGAAGCTGAACAGAGATTCCATATGACTCAGTTATACCACTGCTAGGAACATAACCCAAGGAAAACAGAGCTGAAATACAAACAGAAATTCATACACCGATATTCACAGCAGCATTATTCACAAAAACAGGAACAAAGAAACAGCCCAAATGTCCATTAACAACTAGATTGAGAAACTCTGGCACATTCATACAATGGAATACTATGCAGGAGCCAGGAGCAATGATTTGGAAACTTCCATATATCAGTTCAATAGACCAGAGAGCATTATTCTGAGTGAACTAACTCAGGTGCTTAAGAAAAAATACTGTATAAGACCATTATTGTAAAAATAAAAGGATAACCAGAAAGATATGTTGCATATACAAAGAAGGAAGGAGCGGCAGGGGAGTTAAAGGTGGAGAGTGGGGAATCATAAGGTCGAAGAGGATGGTGGATGGAGGAAGGGAGGGAGCAGGGGAGAAAAAATAATAACAAAACACAATGTACATGAATGAAAATTTAAAAACTTTAAAATTTAAAAAATCTTTTTAAAAAAAAACCTCCAAAACTAATGTATTTTCTTTAGCATTTTGAGAAGAAGGAAACATCATGTTGTTACAGGCTGTCAAGTCAGAACATATTTCATTTTTTTTTATTAATTTTATTAAAAGTTTACAGAGACGTAAGGTTTCCAGTCATTCATTGTTGCACTTTTCTCCCTGTCCACCCCTTACCCCCCAATTCACTCTTGTCCTTGAAAAGAAAAACTCTTTCATTGTTATGCAATCCCTTCCCCCAAGTCCGCTCCCCTATGCAGAACATATTTCTAGATGACCCTCTAGCAAGTTTCCTGAGACTTTAAATCACAAAAGAGGACACTCCTCCTCTTTCTCCTGCAGAGCAGCTGATGAATACGAACCAAGTACTTTGCAGCACAACCCCTTACCAGTAAGCCACCAGAGCTCCTTTCAACATCATGTCCCCTTCAATATTTCTCTTCTTAAACACCAACTAGGTAAACTATTATATTTTACTAAATTGTTAAAAATATACAATGTAACAGCACTAGAAAGATGTAACACTAGAGGAAAAACCATGTTTAACCAGAATACTATTTAAAACATGGTTTTGACATCTTCAAGTAAATGCAGAAAACAGTTTGGTCATCTTCAACTGTACAGAGAAATTAATAGCTAACAAAATCATGTCACATGTGAATAAAGATCTGCTTTTAGCTTATATGAATCTAGGAAAATTAGAAATTAAATGTAACTCAAAGGATTGATATTCTAGGTATTAGAGAACTGAAATGGACTGGTATTGGCCTAGATGAATCAGACAATCATATGATAATGTTATATAGAAAATGAAAAGTTAATAGAAAATGGTGCTTCACTCATTGTCAGAAAAACCATTTCAAGATCCACCATTAATTGCAATGCTGTAATAGGATATCATTCATACCCATATAGGGAAGATATGTTAATAAAACTATTATTCAAATATATGCTCCAACAACTAAAGCAAACAAGAGGAAATTGACAAATTCTACAACTTTTACAGGCTGAAATTGACCAAATGTGCAATCAAGATGCATTAAATATATATTTGGTGCCTGGAATGCAAAGCCATAAATATAGGAGAAAAGGTAGTTTGAAATTACACATTTGGTTACAGAAAACAGGTCGGGGACTGAATGACTGAATTTTATATAAACAACAATTTATTCATTGCAAATATCTTCTTTGAAAAACACAAAAGGCAATTTTACAAATGGATGTGTGTGATGTACTGCATTGGAATCAGACTGACTACATCTGTGGAAACAATCTCTGGAAAAGCTGAATATCAACAATCGAAACCAAATCAGGTGCTGACTGTCAAAGAAACCATAAATCTTCAAGTGCAAGTTCAAACTGAAGCTGAAGAAAATTAAATCAAGTCTACAAGAACCAAAATTAGAACTTGAGTTTATCCAATTTAAAAATCACCTCAAGAATAGGTTTAAAACACTGAACACTAATGATCAAATGAACTGTGGAATGACATCAAACACATCATCTAGAAAGAAAGCAAAAGATCACTGCAGAGATGGGGAGAAAGAAAAGATCAAAGTAGACATGAGAAGAGACCTCGAAAATTTCACAAGACCATCAAGGAGATGAAACAAGCAGGGAAATGGTGAAGTAAAAGAGTTGAGAGGAAATGGCAAAATAAAAGAGTTAAACAGAAAATTTCAGAGAACAGTGCAAAAAGAAAAAATAAAAGTATTATAACAAAAGCTGAAAGAAATGAATAATAAATCAAGGCTTGAGTTACAATGCTGCAAGATGATATAGACAAAATCTTGAATGATCCAGGAAGCATCAATGAAGATGAATGAAACAGAGTTACTGTACCAAAATGATTTGCTGGCATAAAACCATTTCAGGTGATAAGGGAGAAAGGGTGCACTGAAGCAGTGGTAAAAAATAAGTTCACACAAATTGATGGGGTATCAACTGAAGTGCTTCAGCAAATAGAGGCAGCACTGGATGTGTTCACTAGTCTATGGGTTTTAAAAAAAAATGTAGACAAGAGTCTGGGAGATGTACAGCTCCAAATATTAGCAAATAGCCAGAATTTGGAGCTGTGTTGCTGATAAATTGGTGCTTCCTCAAACCTTTGTTCAGGCAGGATCTGAAGAAGAGATGCAGGTGCACTTGGCTATTAGAAAGCATTAAGAATTGGGAACTGCATTGTTGAGAAGTTGGCTCTTCTCTGAGCCTCTGTCTGCTCAGGCAGGAATAGCTACCTCCCAACCAGCCCCTGGAGGTGCATGGCTCCAAACATTAGCAGGCAGTCAGAACTGGGAGCTGTATTGCTGAGAAGTTGGTGCTCCACAGAACCTTTGTCTACTCAGGTAGGGAACCATTGCCCTCCCAAACAGCCCTAGGAGATGCAGCACGAAACACTACAGGTAGCCAGAATTGCGAGCTGCACTGCTGAGAAGTTGGCACTTCTTTAAGCTTTTTGGTCTGCTGGGGGAGAGGGAGCAGGAAGGGCAGAGCAGGAAGGACAGAGATGTGCACACTAAACATTCGAAGACAGCCAGAACTGGGAACTGAGAATTTCTTGCTACCCTGAGCTTTTGTCTGCTAAGGCAGAAACAGCTGCCCTCACACAACCAGGCACTTCTTGAGAAGTGATGCAAATACACTTGGACATTAGCAAGTAAGAAAAATTCGGAGTTGAACTCTTGAGGAGTTGGCACTTCCATAAGCCTTTGTCTGCTAAGGTGGGAATAGCTGTCCTACCAATCAGCCTCTGGAAGTGCACAGCCCTGAAAAATAGCAGGTCAACAGAACTGGAAGCTATAATGCTGAGGACCTGGTGCTTCGCTGAACCTGTGTCTACTGAGATGGAAATAG